TAGAAGTTTTCTAATACATTGACATTATGTATACATCACGCAATTGTTGACCGTTAATGGATAGATAATGGTTTTTATATTATATACTTCCGTATTACATAGGTTCTCATGTGAATACTGAATGTATCAATCGAATGCCTAAATTATGTAAACAGACGTCAAATTTCAAACATGGCCATTGCTATATTTGTTTTGGTGAAAATTGAGATGAAGCGACGTGGTAAAGATAATCATATTTTACAAAATAAATATTATTCAAATCAAAGTCATATCATTATAATCATCATCAGCTCATTATAAGTCTCCACTGAGAGGCTCAGCCTACCCTAAGTTAGGGGTGACTAGGTCGTGGGCCGCGGAGCGAAAGCGTGCCCGTGGTCCCGTCACGATGCGTTGGAGGAACAGAGGGGTTTAGTGGGTATGCCTCCGCTATGGAGGAGAATCCGACATAACTATCACGTCCCCCCCGGGGCGCGGAGTATGCATAAAGCATTCCCCTCTGAAAAAAAAAAGGAGTGACTAGGTCGTAGTCAACCACGCTGGCTAAGTGCGGTTTGGTTGACACGTAAAGTGTATATCGTTTTTAAAATGTTTAGCCTACATATTATAATTTATCTTTAAAAGTCTACAAAAGCAACTTTTGGATAAAATAACTTCATTAAAAACTAGCTGTTGCCCGCAACTCCGTCTGCGCGGAATTAAAAAAAAATCCTAAATGATTTTCCCGGCAATTATTATAATTTTTCTCACTCTTTAAACCTTCCCTAGACCTCCACGAATATTACAAGACCAAGTTAATATAAATCCGTTCTCGAGTTTTAACAGTGGTAGAGCCCGCTTTAACATCTCCGCACGAATCGGCCCGGCTCGCTCAGTGAAATACCACGACCACACAGAATACAGGCGTGAAGTGGAAGCAATTCCGCGTTACGTCTGATGAGTGTGCGTCCCGGAGGCCTAATTTAGTCCTCTTTCCCTTGCCATCCTTATCTTTATAAGGAAAGGATGGAAAGTGGAAGTGGACTTTCCGGATGAGACGATGCAAGGAAAGGGAAGATATTTTCTTTCTGTGTATCCTCTCCTCCATCGATTAAAGGTAGGCAACACATATGCGATTGCGTATGTCTATGGGCAACGGTCACTTAGCTATTTCAGCGATTTCGGGTGGCCGCTCGCTCGTTTGCCACCACCTTATCATATAAAAAAAACAACAGTAAATAAAGTAGATAGTCATAGTCACCACCATCATCCAAATTAAATTAACGATTATACTATATTTTGGTATGCAATTCACATAATGAAAGTTAAGGTTACATAACTTTAACGTGACGATGATTGTGCGAATTTTACAGAGAGAGGCGTGTGAAGAGGCTTTTAATATTAGATAATAGTATTCCGAACTACACGGCAGTCTTAAGTTTGGTTTACACGGTGATACTGCGATCAGCCGCTGTGGAGAACGTCGGTGGCTCAGGGGTCAAGCGCTTGACTTGCAATCTACAGGTCCTGGGTTCGAATCCCGCCATGTACCAATGTATATTTCGATTTCCGATTTACATATGTACATTTATCCGACGTTCTTACGGTGAAGGAAAACATCGTGATGCTGCACATATCTGAGAAGAAATTCAAAGATATGTGTAAAGTCAACCCGCACTTGGCCAGCGTGGTTGACTATGGCCTAATCACCCTAAACTTAAGGTAGGCTCCGATCCCCTCGGTGGGGACGTATAGTGAGCTGATGATGATGACTGCGATCATCCGATGTGTATCATACTCTTTAAGGCTCGTCGTACACAACGTTGAACTGACGCGAGTCTATTCGGTCAGTACTGGCATAGCGACTACATGGCAATTGTATAAATGTGCTCCGCCATCTTGAATGTTTCAGAGACTTTTTGTAAACAATCTTGACAAACTGCTACGACTTAGGGTCCTTTAAGTAGCGAGCGTATCACCATCTCAAAGGCCAGCAACGCATCTGCGGTTCCTTTGGTATTGCAGATGTCCATGGGCGTCAATGAACACACCACGGTGTTGCCGCTGCTCGTCTGTCCCCAGCTCTTATAAAAAAAATTAAAAAAAAAACATGTAGCGACTATCTGGTGACGACAGATGGATATGTCAGCGACACGCGCTGTGTACGAACCTTTATGTATTGCGTAAGTTACTTAGCGACGATACTGTTCGGGTTTCGAATACTTAAGTTGCCTTGTGCAGTGCCTTAATATGCATTTCCACTGCTAAGCCGTACATTACACATTACAACAATTTGACTCTATATTCCTACACATCAATAAATATATTATTATGACAGTTTGGAAAAAGATAAAAAAAATTAAAACAATGGAACAGTGGAAACCAGCCTTAATAGCACCTTGTTAGGAAAAGTAGCAGATTGTAAACGAGTGATTCATTTCGACTTAACAGTCGCGTGTTAACGTATATAATCTGACCGACTTACTTGGCCCGGTAGAAATAAATGAAACTACACTATAATAGTAGTCTATGTGTTCTTTTAGACTATATTCTATATCTATGCCGAATTTCAGCGAGATCCATACAGTCGTTCTAACAAACATCTAAACAGATGCCCAGATCGCGGTCCTGGTTACCACATAACTCCAGAACGTCTTGACAGATTTACATTACAATCTGGGATATACATACCCAATATTAATATTAAAAATCTATTCATATAAAAGAAAGTCGTGTTAGTTACACTATTTATAACTCAAGAACGACTTTACCGATATGCCTGAAAATTGGTAAGGAGGTAGCTTAGAGCCAGGAGACGGACATAGGATACTATTTATTCGTTTTTTTTATTCGAATTTATACCTTGAAGTGCTGCTTTTGATTTACCTTACTAATATTATAAATGCGAATGGATGTGTTTGGAGATATCTCTAGAACGGCTGAACTGATCTCGATTAAATTTGGCATACGTATAGAACATAGGCTACACTATTTTTTTTATATATCCACGCGGACTGAGCCGCGGGCGACAGCTAGTACTGAATAAAAAACAAAAATATTATAATCTGTGACACGATTTTAATAACAAACAGTGTGTGACTAATCTATGACGAGTCATTGATTTTTCATCTGTGGTAAACGCGGTAAAAATGACGTTTACGGATTAACAACGCATATTTAAAATTCTTTTAATTTAAAACGTATTATTACCGTTAAAGGATATACTATGCATTCACAATTAAATGAATCGAATGTATTCGTTACGATTCCATTCCTGTTATAATTGTTATAATATTGTCTCTATTTTCTTTAAGAGAATGACAGAGAGGACGATATGTTTTTATCCATAGATTTATAGCCTTGCAGTCGAGAACGTTAGCGCGGAAGAAAAAAAAATTAGTAACCTCTGTGTTCTTCCAAACTATGTTCTACATATGTATCAAATTTCATCAAGATCCCTTTAAATATTCAAAAGGTAGACTATACTATTTGTCATCGTATTAAAAATACTAACTTATCTCCTTTGAAATTCATCATCAACCTGCCCTTATCCCTATCGAGGATCGGCACAATATGTACTCCTCCATACATCTCTATCAACCGTCATATCAGAGTCTACCCCCTTCCTACGCATATCCTCTTTCACACACTCATTCCATACTTTTTTTTGGTCTTCCCCTACTCTTGTAGCCATCCACATTCAATCTCATTACTTTTTTGCTTATATCATCATCCCTCCGCACAACATGTCCAAACCACGCTAATATTTTACTCCTCAATTTCTCCATCACTGGCGCTACTTTCAAACTTCCTCTAATATACACATTTTATCTTTTCAAACTTATCTCCTTTGAAATTGAAACAAAAATTTTATACGAATTGTTTTATACACAAGTGAGTTATTTAGAAACCAATCGGCCATTGAATATATGGATGCATTTACGCAACCACGCTTTCACACTTGAAATCGGACGTTGCGTACGTAATTATCAAGATCATAGGCGCTATTGGGACGTAACAAAACTATTCAAATATCCTTCATTTTGATCCAAAGTCGTCGACTAAAATCCAATTTTAGTTGCTAAGCAACTTACGCCATGCTTTGTTCACTGACACGCGTCGTCGACTTATCTGTCATCGCCAACGTTAGTCGCTCGCTACCTGTTTCGTGTAATAGCAAATTCGTTATGCCGGTACTGACTGAATAGAATTCATTGCGAGAGGAATTTACGCGATACCCGTGTCGTGATGATTATTTGAAAGGTTTACCTTGTGTAAGGGCTTAAATAAACTAATGGACGATCGAACATCAAACTTCATATATGGCGACTATTAAGATGTTTCACTTTTAGTTGTTTCGTCAAAATAGTGAAATAAAGTGAAGGTATCTTACCAATATTATAAATGCGAATGTTTGGGTGAAACTGTCGAATATAAAAATACCTCCATACATAGACATAAAACCTTTACATACAAGTTTGTATCGTAAATAACACTGAGGGAATTTACCTGAACGGACCTCCGGACGCTTTATTTTTTCCTTAAATCTATGCCTACAAAGGTGCATAAGTAGTAAACTTTAAGATAATAATAATTTCATAATGTAAATACGTTCTTATTTCTTTAAAAAAAAAACAGTTTTGTTTACTAAAAAAGGCAAAAAAATATGTAGGTTACATATAAAAAGTATATTTCTTTTTTTTTATTGCAATTTACAATAAATGGCCAGTAAATTTCTAGTGAAATTATAAATTCTATTATTATTCTTTGGAACGTAACGTCATCTGTATTTACCTACTAAAATTACTCAACACGTAATTGTTTAGTTTAGACAACCATAAACAATAGACTGATCTTATTAATTCGCTTTCATTTATTTAATCTTGAAAGTTAGATTGCATTGCTGTTTAGAAAGCATAAAACACAATTATCTTGGTGCATCGTACTTTATGATAAATTCTATATTAGCTTTGAACATAACCTAAAAATGTAAAATTAAAAAAATTAAAAGGTTTACTTACTTGATCCTCTTTAGGATGTTCGTGTGAACAATGTACATGATGATGTTCACTTAATAATAACTCATTCACAAATGCATTGCATTTAATTTCCTTTATAAACAACACAACAAATAAAAACACCCACAAACAACTAGCACTGGTATACGACATTTTGTCTTTGACAAGAGATATTTCACTTATAAACTATTATTATTTGTTTACATTTTAATTTGTGACTATATAAACGCATAAAGACATGCGAACATACGCCATAGCGAGATCAAACTGGCTGTTTAGACTTCGAGCGATTGTGTTGAAGTTAGCAAATCGTGTTGCCATAATACATACTGAATTTACCTTATAAATCACCATGCCTTTTTTAACAGTACACATGCCTGAAAGTTATATTACGTATTAAGTCTTCTTTTTATCAAGAGTTACTAAACTTTTTTCTTGTAGACTTCTATGCAAATTTTACCTTATTTCCTCTATACATCCTCCGCGAATCAGCATTGCCCCTTACTTTGAGAAAGAATGACCTATTAACTTGTAGTGTACCTTTGCACTATAAACTGTTAATTTTATGTTAAAACTTTTAAAGAGGATGGCTTCCTAGCGCAATAAATTACTTATCAATTTTTCCTCACTTTTTTAAATTGATTGAGATATCAATTACATTTAAGGAAACGAAAATACAACAAAAACAAAAACTCTGATCACTTTCATTTTTAATGACAAATTATTTAACTTTGATAGACTTTCTTAAAAGTCGGATATTTTTTTTCAATATGGCATCACTGGTTGCGTCAGCTGAGGCACTCACGGTCATTTTGTTTCCATTAAAAATTTATCTCTTTCTAACTTGTGCTACTTACCATTTGTTAGAAAGAGATGGAAAATATCGCGGAGAGATGACAATTAAGTACGTGCAAATGCATTCCAAGAATAATTAATTATTTAAATAAATTGAGAAATATTTGTTTTCTAATTCAGTTGTAACATTAAAAAGCCTGTTTTATATAATAATTTAAGTGTCAAAATAAATAATGACTATTTTCTAATATGCTAAACAGATTTAAAAATTAAATTATGAGAAACAAACTGACTACTGACATGAAGGATGGTAAAAAGTAATTTTTAAATAAGAAATAAAAATTCTATTTATTATACAAAGTAAAAAGTTTATATTAACTATGAGAAAAATGTCGAGTGTACAAAAAAATTATACCTTTACAGAGTTCCAGAGGCAAAATGATAAATAGCTAAAATTTGTAAATGGACTGGCTACAAGACGTAGTATCTTGTGCCTATTTGATTTTCGCCATTTTGGCGCTGATGGTATTGGTTACAGTGGTGGCGATTCGAACTAATGTTAAGATTTAACTGTCACGTAACATCGACAGACGCGTTTAAATCGGAACGAACCAAACGCTGTCATTTCTAAGTAGTCGCCACTCCATTTATAGAGATGTAAAATTTACGCGGGTAAAATTTATTCCATTTTATAAAACAACTGAAAAGGTATTGTATTATTCGATGTGATAGATCGTCGGTGGATCAGTGGTCAAGCACTTGACTTGCAATCTGCAGGTCATGGGTTCGAATCCTGTCATGTACCAATGTGTTTTTTCGATTTACATATGTACATTTATCCTATATTGTTACGGTGAAGGAAAACATCGTGATGCTGCACATATCAAAGAAGAAATTTAAACATATGTGTGAAGTCAACCCGCACTTGGCGAGCGTGATTGACTATGGCCTAGTCACCCCTAACTTAGTTAAGGCTCCGAGCCTCTCGGTGGGGACGTATAGTGAGCTGATGATGATGAATATTCGATGTATGTAGGATGAACTTTAACCCGGTTCCGAGATGATTTAAACATAGCTACCACAGTGGAGACTTACCTTAAAATGTCCTTGTAATAAAATAATAGTCAATAGCCTATAGTTTTATATTTAGCACGCGTCGTCAATGGCCGACTGTTGAGCAAGGAAATACGTGACCTGTGAAAGTGAAATTGTATTTATAACTAGCCATTGTTCGCAACTTTAGGGTGTAAAAAAAACAACATAAGCCTATGTTTCCAATCCGGTAACTACAACGAAGTAACAGCACGAGCCGAGGCACCTGAGCCCTCGAGTCTTGTTACTCTTAAACGAGATTTAGGCTAAGCGCCATCTGCGCTCGGCCACCTCAAGCCCGGTGAAGCTATAAATGCCTCGTCAAGTCAAACATTGACTACTCAGTCACAAAAAAAGGCTATGTTACTCAGTCATGCATCCACTAACCTGCAGCAAAAGTCCTGTCCCAATAGGGCCTACCGCATCAGAAATAACGCGGAACAAACACTTTCGGACGGACAGACCCAACTTAAAAACACTTCACTGACGAAGTAGAACGCAACTTCGTAAGCGCAGTTAAAAAAGTAACACGTCCGCGTACATCAGCTACCTTCCTGCCAAATCCCGTCAAAATCTGTCCACACGTTCCCGAGATAACACTGAACATACACAAACTTGCGAACAGACATACAAACAAAAATGTTTACAATTGCTCTTTATCACAAGCAACGCAAATACATTAAATTAAGAAATATACATTTTTTCCTCTATATAACATACACACTGCAATTTTATTTATTTGAATAGATAACGAAATATAACATTAAAACCTTTTTGCTCGATCATGAGTTTTGTAACACCTGTATTGTAAACGAGTGAACTGATTTTGACAAGTGAGCTGTCATTCGATTGTTATTCATCCAAAGTGTCACCAATTATACGAAGTTTAAATAAATTTACACGAGATATCTTACTAGCTGACGCCCGCGACTCGGGCTGTATATATAAAAAAACTTAATAGCCTTTGTGTTCTTCCAGACTATGTTCCATGCGTAAGCCAAATTTAATCGAGATCCGTTCAGTCGTTCTAGGTATATCTTCAAACACCCATCTATCCACATCACATCCATCTAAACATTCGCATTTATAATATTATTAAGTTAAATAAAAAGCAGCTCTTCAAGGCATAAAATTCGAAAAAAAAGGAATAAATAGTATCCTATGTCCGTCTCCTGGCTCTAAGCTACCTCCTCAACAATTTTCAGTCATATCGGTAAAGCCGTTCTTCAGTTATAAATAGTGTAACTAACACCACTTTCTTTTATATATAGATTTAAATAAAACAACAACATTTTATTCGTATATTTTTTTATAGAAACAATAACCAATATAGAAGATACTGTTTTAAAGGCAAACAGTTAAATGCTTAAACCCGCCACAAACAAAAAAAAAAGCATAGACAAGACCAGTCTTATTTTTTAAATTACAACTAAAAATCCTATACAAAATAATTACAGTTAAAAAAAAATCCATTGCAAAATATCCAAAAATAAAAATGTTTACTAGAAGTGACATTCCAAAGTTTTTAAATATTTAATTTTTATATATTTATTTTTTTACAATGAATATGATTCTTATTAAAATTTCAAGCATAAGTTTGATCTTTTAATGAACTTTGCGAACATAATTTCCTAAAGAATTCTTTAGACGATTTACATCTTTCACTGACACAATGCGGGCATCTGAAATAAATTATTGACATCTGATTAAATAATCGAATTCAATAGAAATGAGAAATTATGACACATGACACTAAATAAAAAAAAGTTATATTTTGTCTATGGATTCATTTTGCAACTATCTGTCGTCAGCGCAAAATAAAAAAAAAACTTAATAGTCTATGTGTTCTTCCAGACTATATTCTACATATATGTCAAATCTCATCAAGATCTATGCAGCTGTTCTGGAGATATCTTCTAACATACATCTAAACATTCGCATTTATATTAGTAAGATATTTTTACAGTCAAATAAAGATATAAAGATTCATCATTACTTATGGTCATTAATAGTAAATTATAGTCAAACTTGGTCAATTGTAGTCAAAGTTAACCAATGACTCAGTCATAGTCAAACCCAATAAGTAATTATATAGTCAGTCATAGTCAATCACAGTCAAACATAGTCACCAGAGCGTCAGTGGCTCAGTGGTTAAGCAGTTGACTTGTAAGTCCTGTCAAATCCCGTCATGTAGCAATGTATTTTTACATATGTACATTTATCGTATGTTGTTACTGTGAAGGAAAACATCGTGATGCTGCACATATCTGAGAAAGTCAAATGTGTGAAGTCTTGCACTGGACCAGCCTTCACTATCACATAGTCTCACTTAGGGTAGATGAGACCCTCAGTGGAGTATAGTGACCTGATGATAGTCAATCATAGTAAATACCTGGATAAGAACTGTTTCGACACCCTGGGACCATTGGTAAGATGCTTGGCGACCACATCCGCAAGAGCAGCAATGAATATTGGATGGTCATTTGGTGCTGATGCTCTTTCTATCTGTATTACACCAGCCTGAAAGAAAATACTTTTATTACCAGATAGACTTATGAAAGTGTGTTTCGCATGAAAATATTTTAGTAGGCTGTTTTCTTCCAGACTATTCTACATCTGTGACAAATTTCTACGAAATCCATGCAGCTGTTCTGAAGATCATTCTAACATACATCTAAACATTCGCATTATTAATTAAGATTAATCTAAATCTTACTAATATTATAAATGCGAATGTTTAGATGTATGTTAGAATGATCTTCAGAACAGCTGCATGGATCTCGCTGAAATTTGTCACAGATGTAGGACAGTCTGGAAGAACATATAGGCTACTAAGTTTTTTAATTCCGCGTGTAGGGATTCGCGGGCGACAACTTTTTTTTTATATAAAAAGTGGCAAACGAGCGAGCGGCCATCTGATATCGCTGAAATAGCGAAGTGACCGTTGCCCATAGACATACGCAATTGCATATGCGTTGCCTACTTTTAATCGACGGAGGAGAGGATGCACAGAAAGATAATATTTTCCCTTTCCATGCATCCTCTCATCCGGAATGTCCATTTCTACTTCCCATCCTTTCCTTATAAGAATAAGGGTGCGAAGGGAAAGAGGACTAAATTAGGCCTCCGGGACGCACACTCATCAGACGAAACGCGGAATTACTTCCACTTGACGCCTGTCTTTTGTGTGGTCGTGGTAAAAGTAGTAGTAACTTGTATACAAACTCACCTCATGAGCAAGTTCCTCGCAATATTCAATATCCAATTCATGCAATGTCTCTATATGTTCATTGACAAATGCAATTGGCACTAAAATTAAATGCTTCCTTCCTTGTTTAGAATACGCCTGAAAAATAATTTTACTTATATACAGGGTGTCCCAAAAGGTTACGTACATAGGAAGGGGGATGAAAGGGGTGGTCACAAGGGTCACCAGAAAAATTCTCCTCTGGGTATTAAAAAAAATGGCGTTTTTTAAAAACTTAAAAATTTTACACCTTCTGGGGCAATTTTAATTTTCTTTAAAATCTTTGTTAATCCACCCCTATCATCCCCCTTCCTATGTACGTAACCTTTTGGGACATCCTATATATTATATAAAAACCCTTAAAGGGTCACTATGTTGTCCGTCTGTCTATCAAGACCCTTAGATAGAACGTTACAAACAATCATATGATTTCTCTAAAGCAGCACAGACTCATCTGCTATAAGTTAATAGACTGAGAGGGCACACGGTAAGAGGAAATTTCCACTTCTAAAACATCCCCTCCCATGTCTTGATTTCCTAAGATTCAAAAGGGTTGGAAAAGAAAGTTTTTTTTCAATTATAAGGAGGCAAACGAACAAGCGACAAGTTTAATTCTCCGGAATAGCGAAGCGACCACAGCCCATTGACAACCTTACAAATGCATTGCATTCTTTAAGCAGAAGAGGGGAAGGATAGAAAGATTTCCTCTTCCTATGCGTCCTTTCCTCTGTCAAACTTAATCTTCCAATCCGTACCTTATAAGAAAAGATTGTGAAGGGAAAGAGGACTTAAATATCCGACACCCCTGCATCAGACTATTGGAATGACTTCAATTTGAGGCTTGTCTTCCATGTGGTCGTGGTATTATGCCAGAGCAGACCTGCTGCGACATGCTGTCACTACTCTCACCAGTCTTACCTTGATAGCATCATCTGTGTACGGCTGTAACCATGGCAACGGTCCAACTTTCGATTGCCACACGAGACGATGAGGATTGGGTAGTTTCAACTCATTCATTGTAGCAGCTACAGTTGCTGCCACTTCGTGAGGGTAGGTATCACCACGGGATACCGCCTTGGATTTAAATATGATATTTAATCAGTAGTCAATAATTACTATAGTTTACCAATATTGACTATAATTGACTAACTTTGACCATATTTGACCACTAATGACAAAGCGTAGTTTTATTATAAAAAGTTTGGATGTATGTTAGAAGATATCTCCAGAACAGCTGCATGGATCTTGATGAAATTTGTCCTAAATATAGAACATAGTCTGGATGAACACATAGACTAACATTTTTTTTAATACCGCGCAACGAAGTCGCAGGGGACAGCTAGTAATATTATAAATGCGAATGTTTGGATGTTTGTTAGATTGTATTTACAGAACGACTGCATAGATCTAGATAAAATTTGTCATAGATATAGAACATAGTCTGGATGAACACATAGGCTACGTTTATAAATACCGCGTAATGTATAAATATTATGCAATTTGTGTAAAGACAAAATCTTTATTTATTTTTATTTTGAATAGTCAATTGTAGTCATATTGTCAAAAGTTTTTTTTTTTTATATAAATGACGTAATTTTCTTTTATATACTTACTTTTAAAGGTAAACTATGTGCTGTAAACATAATTAATACATCATTCCTTAAACTGGAATCGAATTTTTCTAATTTCTCTTTAATTCTTTCAGTAAATACTTTAGCTAATAAAGGATGTGTCGGCCAACGTTCAATCATACTGAATTTTATATTTTGTGGTATTTGTCTGGAAATAAATTTATCCTTTCTTGGTATAAGAGTACGTAATAAATAGGGGGATAAGGTAGAGGAGGGCTTAGGAGGAGGTGAAATGAAAGGGTGACATGATTAAGTGTGAAACCTGGGACAAGAACAATGAGATGATGTATGACATTTGACTGAATACAACAATTTATAAACTTACTAGACAAATTGTAAAATATTAACAAATTAGCAACAAACGTTTTTAATCGATAAATCTATATATATAAAAGAAAGTGGTGTTAGTTACACTATTTATAACTCAAGAACGGATGTACCGATATGCCTGAAAATTGTTGAGGAGGTAGCTTAGAGCCAGGAGACGGACATAGGATACTATTTATTCATTTTTTTTTTCGAATTTATATCTTGAAGCGTTGCTTTTTATTTAACTTATCTATATATTAAGTTTTTTTATATATCCACGGGGACGGAGTCGCGGGCGACAGCTAGTATTTGATATAGATTGATGTAACAAAACCAAATTATATAATTTAAAAGTTAGAAATCGACAGAGGAGATACTTAGAAAGAGGATATGTCCTATACTAAATCTACTTTATCCATCTTAACCTTATAACAAAAGATGTGGGAAGGGGAGGGGACTAATTAGTAAACTTACCTTTTCCTATAAAAGTCAGCAATAGCATTCAAACTGGAGCCAGTAGTAGCACAACTGTATTGAGGATATTGAGAAAATATCACTGCCCTCTCAATACCGTCCCTATAAAAGTGATTTTTTAGTAAATAACCAAAAAAAAAACAAAAAACTCAGTTCTTGTATATGAAAAACTAATCATTTTACAACACCATCGATGGAAAAAACCCTCCCTTATAATAATGCATATTCCAAGAACTGTTAAATGATTTTTCTAATTTTACAATTTACATCTCCGATTGTAAAACATACTTTTCCAATTTCGAATTTTACATCTCCATTTTTAAAAATTAACTAACTGTAAAGTTTAGTACTCCAATTGTAAAACTTACTTCTCCAATTGCTCAAATGTCTCATCGGTGAAGGGTGGCACATATCTAAACGCGACGTAATGTTTATGAGGTGCTGATTCAGGAAGCATTTGGTCTAGAGCTTTTGTTAACATGCTACCTGGAATAATTTATTTTAAAATCAATCTTATTTCTTCATCATCATCAGCTCACTATACGTCCCCACCGAGGAGCTCAAGTTAGGGTGATTAGGCCACAGTCAACTACGCTGGCCAAGTGCGGGTTGGTTGACTTCACACATATCTTTGAATTTCTTCTCAGATATGTGCAGCATCACGATGTTTTCCTTCACCGTAAGAACGTCGTATAAATGTACATATGTAAATCGGAAATCGAAAAACTCATTGGTATATGGCGTGATTCGAACACAGGACCCGCAGATTGCAAGTCAAGTGCTTGACCCCTGAGCAACTGACGCTCTTCATCTTATTTCTTATCTTACTAATATTATATGGTTTAGTTGGATGGGTGGATGGATGGAGGTATCTCCAGAACGTCTACATGGATCTTGATGAAATTTGGCATAGATGTAGATCATAGTCTGGAAGAACACATATACTACTAATTAAGCCTTTTTTCAAACGCGGGCGTCAGCTTAGATAGATGTTTAAAGGTATCTCCAGAACTGCTTTTGGTGTCAGAAGAACACAGTTTTTGGTATTAGAAACCCACAGTTAGTGTTCATTTTAACAGACTGAAACTTATGCTGCGGAGGTTTTAATTTCACTTAAAGTTGTTAAATACACTGGCCGTTACAATTTCAGTTACCATGGGTTTCTAATACCAAAAAATCTGTATAAGACATATTCTCACCGCTATCAAATGGAGTTTGTGAAGTCAGAAACCCACTGTTAGTATGTACCTTGTAAATTAGTCCACTTCAATATAGGTGAACCTCCACCAATTTCCATATATTTCTTCTTTACTTCATCAGTCCGTCTACTTGCTATCCAGGGTCCTAATCTGCTCTGAACGGGTAACTGGATCATATCACGATCAGTCATAATACGATGTAAATAAGCGCCCACCTGAAAGTAAAACAACAAATATATACCTCTCTTTCTTTCTTAGATTGTTTTATATCTTTCTTCTCTCTCATGTAACGAAATTTGACCATGTATGTATATTTGACTATGAAATTTATTTGTGTCATTTGTCAGTACTAGCAGTTATTAAATACTAGCAGTCGCCCGCGACTACGTCCGGGCGGAGTTAAAAAATATATATGTTTTTCCAGACTATGTTCTACATATATCCCAAATTTCATCTAATTCAGCCGTTCCGGAGATATCCATTTAAACTTTTACATTTTTAATAACATAAGATCAAAAGTTTAGATGGATGTTTGTTAGAATTTATCTCCGGATCGGCTCAACAGATCTTGATGATATTTGGCACAGATGTAGAACATCTACACTACAAGGGTTTTAAATTTTGAGCAGACGGAACCGGGTACGACAACTAATTGTGAAATTAACATACAAATCTATACAAATAAAATTAGAGTCTTAAATTTTATACACATTATGTATTTGTATTGCTGATAAATGAATAACCAATTTTTAAATGCTTTATCTGTCCGCAAGGCTATGTATGTTCAGTGTTATCTCGGAAACATGTGGACAGATTTTGACATGACTTTGACTGGAAGGTAGCTGACGTACACGAGAATGTTATAGGATACTTTCTTTTATTCCAGAAGACCTTAGTGACCTTGTATGATTTTATTACAATGTTTTATTATTTTCAATTCCATACATTGTCTTTTGAATAACATGTTATGATTTTTATACTAAAACTAGCGGACCCGACAGACGTTCTGTTCGTCCTGTCTACACGTCTTTAATTTGAATAAATTAATATGAAGTTAATATTTGATGAAAATTGTGAATCTAAACCATTCCCAGATCCCCTTGAACACACACAAAAATTTTTATCAAAATCGGTCCAGTCGTTTGAGAGAAGTTCAGTGACATACACACGCACAGAAGAATTATATATAAAGACTAGCGGACAGACAGACGTTGTCTGACAATTTGACACTGCGATGGTAGCGCCGTCTGTCGGATCCAATGTAAAACATTCCAAAATCAACAACTACTAATAAATTAAAAATTAATTAAAAAAAACATTGACCAGCGGACAAAATTGTGAAACTAAACCATTCCCAGATCCCCTTGAACACACACAAAAAATTTCATCAAAATCGGTCCAGTCGTTTGAGAGAAGTTCAGTGACATACACACACACAGAAGAATTATATATATAAAGAAGATATCTTTAAAAAAAATTAGGTTAGTACACTTAGATAACCTTTCTAGATATACAGGTTTTAACCTTAGCATCAAGCATCCGTTTAGGTCATGTGAGAAGTTGTACGGAAATAATAATATCACTATTTTATATTATAAATGCAACTGTTTGGATGAATGTTAGAAGGTATCTCCAGAACAGCTCAACAGATTTTAATGAAATTTGACATACATATAGAACACAGGCTACTAATTAAGTTTTTTTAAATATCGTATGGATGCGCTGGAGACAGCTAGTTTCATATAAATAAAAGTATATCAAATGCAATAGATTTTTGACCTTAAATTTCAAAAATAATCTTTTTCTTATCAAAATTGATCTTTTTCTTATTAAAAGTGCGTATTTTCCTTCAATATGCATTACGCCTGACTTAGGGCAGGCTCCGAGTACCTCAGCGGGGGATGTACAGTGAGCTGATGATGTTGCATACCATCCCCCGAGTACTTACCTCGTCTACAGTTTGAGGTCCACCCATATTCAACATAACTATAGCAGTTTTAGGTTTCTGTGCGGTTTCCGTGTGTAGTGCGGCTGATAGACGCATCACTATTGAGTTCCTCCGACCTGGAATTAAAATTGTTTTTCTATACAATATGATAAGGTTATTTTGATTCTTTGCATTGAATAGGCCCCAAAAGTACTGAACCGATTTGAAAATTTCTTTTACAATATTTAAAATTACTTTACATTACTATCATACTAATATTATAAATGCAAATATTTGGATGTATGTTTGTTTGAAGGTATCTCCAGAACAGCTACATGGATCTCTCTGAAATTTGGCATAGAACATAGTCTAGAAAATACATAGGCGAATTAAGATTTTTTTCAATTCCGCGCCGACGTTGTCGCTGGCGACTGTTAGTTATAAAATAAACGGAGGTCTATAGACTCTGCCTACCCCTCTGGGTTACTGATATGGGATATGATACTGATGTTGTTATCTATATAATAGATAATAAAAATACATAAAGTGTATTTTGATGAATAACAATGAATAATCACATTTTATAATAGTCATTGTATAAAAGTTTCTGCGGTTTAAGTTTGCTGGATATTTTTAATAGAAAAAAATTGATAGCTACAAAGGTGGTAGAAGAACGAAGAAATTATGGGAGAGAGTGAAATCAAATGACGCGCGATAGGTATAGAAGAGCGGTACATGTTGTGCCGGTTTCGTAAAAAAGGGCAACTTTATGATGAAGAATTAAAAACGTTGAAATAAAACTAGGTCACATATTAGACAATAATACTGCAATAAATGATAGGTATTTAAAAATAATTAACACTTACATAATGAGACCAACATTTTCCACCAATTTTAATCAAATATTACGAAATTTTGTAAAATATTCACAGTAAGATTACTTATTATAAATATCTGAAAATCCCTATTGCTAACAATATAATTTTATACTTTAAACCACAATACTCTTAATACGTCTTTAACAAATTAAATAAAAATCGAATGCTTAAATATGTTACAAATCAGCACAAAATTGAATTGTTTTTATATTTTTTTTTAGAAGTTTCACAGATTATCCGAGGAATGTCAAATAAGTGACTTCATACCATAGATTAAAATTAAAAAACACACAAATTATAATCGTTTTTGGAAAAGTTAAAATTGTTCTTTAAGAATTAATTATTGAAAAAACTATTTCCTGATTAAAATTCTTAATTAAAGTGTATGGTGTTACTTAAAACGGAGAAAAGAATTTTATTTTATCCTTTTACAATGCTCGATTGGATGTTATTGGATACTCTGTAAAGTGTTAACATATGTTGCGTTTTTGATACATAAAAGTGAACGTCAAATCAAAGCTGCATTAAAAAGTATTTTATTGTTAAAAGTATTTCTTGAATGTTATTTTTCTATTTGATTGGAGCTTGAATAACTATAAGTGATTTAATACAATGTCGTGTCGCAATGCATCTCATGCTGGTAGCTGGTACACCGAGAATGGTATATTTACAACTTCATTATTTTTTACCTTTATAATAAATATATAATTTCCCTATTAAATAGTAATGCAACTTCGATATACGAAGCAATTTTAATAGCTTATTAATCTTTTCAAAATTATAAACCTTTGTCTACATATAAAGATGACAATGTTAAAAGGTTAATGACCTTTCTAAAAGGTCTTTTGTAAAATACCTGCTAACTGTGATTTTAATTTATGCGATTGCATTAAAATAAACTTATACGGTTTGTTGATTCTACCTGTGCCTGGTAATATAAACGATAAACATTTTTGTTCACGTATTTATATTTGATCCCTTTGTTGGGTTTATTTTTATTTCGCTTGTAAATTACAAACAATTACATTGAATTTTGTTGTTCTAAAGGTGTAATTCATAATTATTTGTTGTAAATCAAATTGTTTTTAATTTTTTTTCTTACGTTTTTTTTATAAATATAAAGGTTACGTTCGTTCGGAAACGATGTTCTTGACAGCAAAAGTGCGCGTGATTTTTATTTTTTTTGAGTTAAATAATTACTCTTTATTAAGTATTATCTCTTATTGTAGCATTAAATTAAAAATTCATGATCATGCGGAAAGTATTTTTTCATATTTTTTTGTTATTTTCAAATATCGTGAAAGAATATTGATTTCCGAACGCAAACGATCGTCGCCATGACAGCGTTTCAAACAGTTGTCAATCAACGGATCTTTGTTAACATTTTCTACATTCGAAATACGTATAATTTTGTTGAAATAATTTAATAATGTCGGATAAACGTAAAACATTCGCTTTACCTATATCAAAGCCTGTTAAAACAACGCAAGTACCGTCATCCGTGCGTAAAACTATTACTACGTCTAAAAAGAAAATTGTACCAAAACTTAACACAACGTTATGTACCAAATTAAACCCGGCTGATGTTACTATTTGCAAGGCTGATGATTTACAAGATTTCGAAGAACAATATCGTCAAATAGCTTACGGCAAATTCATGCGTACAATGTTAGAAGAATGTTTAGTGCGTGATAAATTTGAACGAGAAGAAACTGAAGTGGATGTTCAAATGTGTCAATTGGCTGAACGATTTAACAAAACAACGGAACAATTAGATAAAACAAGCAGAAGATTAAAGGAAATATCATTTATTGTTGAACAACAAAGGTTTGTATATTATTTATAACCAAAGAAATCAATTGCAGAGACACTTGTCTTAAAACATATAGTTTTCTCTGCTTGCGGTGGAAAAATATAATTACCATAGCAGTGAAGTTCTTTAATTGATTAGCTTAACTTTGTAAGCAAATACAGTTGAGACTTGGTAAGCAAGAAACCTATATAGGTGAGTCATTATCCAGTTCCGGTGGAGAACCTCCATAAGCGAGAAGTGAGATTTACCTGGTAACCTCTGTGGGAAGGTAAATTATTGTGTTTTCTTGGACTCTCGCTTATCCAGATTTGACTGTATTGTAAATGTTAGCTACTTTTACCTGACTCAAGAATATATTTATTTTCATGTTTGTTAGTCCTATTGTGAACATCCTTGAGGCTAAACTAACCTGATTTTGTTTTGTGAGATATGAATCCAAATTCAAAACAGTATAGTCTGTTGGTATTTAATTATTCAAACTTTCGTGAGACATAAACTAGGCTAAACACTCACATATATTCGCCTGTTGGCGGCACCAACTAGTTTGGAGTTTCACTGTGAGTGAGCAACAGGCGGCGTCCGCGAAATAATACCAGTCCCACTCATGATGAAGGGTCCTTGATGGGCTCGAAACTAGTCTGTGCCGCTACCGGATGAATATATGTGAGTGTTTAGCCGTTTTTATATATGTTAGTATAGTCTGTTGGATTTTTTTGGCTTTTTAATTAACAAATAGTATTATTAATTTGTATCTAATTTATGTGAATAGTCTTACATTCAGATTTATTTAATTTAATTTTTGCAGATTATCAGATTTAAAATCAAATGATTACACGCAGTTCCATGAAATGTCTCAGAAATCGAATGCCGAAGAATTATTACAAAACTTAGCGAGTACAGAACAAACATTACTTGATAAATTGGAAACGAAAAATGTCGATTTCGGTTACGACAAGGAAACTGGACATAAACAATTATTGGACGCTGTTACGGATGCAATTGAAGGATTAGCGGAGATAAAGAAACATTCTAATTTAGATGTAAATAAGTTTAAAGAATATGAGAAGACACAAAGTACTTTGAATAACTTGGAACGAGAGAAATTTGATTTGGAAAGTATGAGGTTACAGTTTGAAACAAAATTTCCTAATTTCAACGAGAATTTGATAAAAGATGCTTCAGAAAGAATCGCCCAGTTGTTAGATAATGAAGATAGTGATGATTGATATTCGATTATTGGATTTAAAGTTTTTTATATATATTTTTTTTATATCATAAGGTGGCAAACGAGCGAGCGGCCACCTGAAATCGCTGAAGTAGCGAAGTGACCGTTGCCCATAGACATATGCAATTTCATATGCGTTACCTACCTTTAATCAACGGAGGAGAGGATGCACAGAAAGAAACTATCATCCCTTTCCTTGCATCCTCTCATCCGGAAAGTCCACTCCCACTTCCCATCCTTTCCTTATAAGAAAAAGGGTGGGAAGGGAAAGAGGAGTAAATTAGGCCTCCGGGACGCACACTCATCAGACGAAACGCGGAATTTCTTCCACTTGACGCCTGTCTTCTGTGTGGTCGTGGTATTTCACCGGGCGAGCCGGACCGATTCGTACAAAGATGTTAAAGCGGGCCCTACCACTGTTAAATAGTTTAGGTTTTCAAGACTAAAATTCCAGTTTAAAACATTTCCAAGCAGTTATGACTTAGGGGTCTTCAAAAACATCTACAGTTCCTCTGGTGTCGCATATCTCCATGGGGGTCGGATCAAATAATTTTAGGCTATCCATTGCTTGTTTGCCCTCTTTTATAAAATAAACTAAAAATCATGACTTTACTCACATATATGGTGTAGGTACTGACTAGATTCATACATGACTAGATTTTCTTTAGGCTAGAATTTCAGTAGCTGATTTGAAGTAAATTTAATATAATTTCTTGATTTTTTTTCTTGATAAATATAATGTTAACTTTACAAATGTGTTTGATTTTATTTATTTTATAAATTTTACCTTTTGCTTACTTTGATAATAATTTCTGTGTAATTATTTGTTATATTCAATAGAAATAAGAAACATATCCAAATAATCTACCTTTATATGTAAGACGTTACAAACAGACATGTTTTTATCATCTATTTAAACAAGAAAAAACTCTTAACTTGATGATACAAGTTAATCCAAAAAAATATTTTAACGATAAAACAGGACACAATAAATAAATCTTACTAATATTATAAATGCAAATGTTTAGATGTTTGTTATAAGATATCTCCAGTTCGGCTCAACGGATTTTAATTAAATTTGTCATAGATGTAGAACATAGTCTGGAAGAACACATAGACTAATTAAGTTCTTTTGTAAATCCACGCTAAGGGTATCACGGGCGACAGCTAACTTGCATTTATAATATTAGTAAGATTTGTCTGTACATCTCCGATATATAAGCAATGCATTTGCAACATTTTAATTTAATAAATTTGCTAGATTTCTATCTAGTTAGCTTTAAGAAAAATGTTACACGAGTTTTTAGTATCAAAGCATTTTCAGGTACGGAGCTATCTAGGCAATTGGACCTCTGGTTGTCCAAAGCTGATCTTACACATGGACCAGCAAGAGCTATTATAGCACCGTAAGTAAATAATTTTCAAAGTTAGTAACAACGCCATCTATTGACAGGAAAAATATGTTAATTTAGAACAACGCCATCTATTGGAGTAAAAAATTATTTTACTTATGCTTACAGCCACGCGGGTTACTCTTACTGCGGCGCGTGCGCAGCGTACGCGTATAGACAAGTCAGTCCGGTTGTAGTGTAAGTTATAATACTGATATTCATTATCACTATTTTTTTTAATTTTAAGTGCATTTTTGGTCAAACTTTTTTGTTTTTAAAATGAAGAGGGTTTACCAGTATCTTGCTTTATGGGCACTTGACAGAGAATAGTCACACGAGACAAGGAGTTTATAATTGTATCTGGTTAAGCGACAGCCTAAGGGTTCTATCTAAAGAGTTCCTTGTTTATGGAGGTTGTTTGTTGGGACCTGACAATGACTCTAGCTTGTAAAGGTATCTCGTTTATCCAGGATACATCGGTAAGGGTAAGCCTAAGAAGAAATGGATTGCGAGGAAATCTTGGAACAAAAGAAATCTACTTATTATTAGTACAGTCTCAGTGTGCTTATACAGTTTTTTTTTTATTTCCAGTAAACGTATCTTCATTTTGGGCCCCTCGCATCACGTGAGGTTGGGCGGCTGCGCTCTATCCTCTCTGGATAAATATCAGACGCCCCTCTACGATCTTACAATAGACAAACAGAGTAAGTTATAGTAAAGTTATTAAGATACTTTGTTAACTTACTAGTATAGAAATAATCTTGACACAAGGCAATCTAGTTTGAACTCATGTCACCTACCCTATCTGTCTTAGTAAGTTGTAACGTTTTTTTTTTATTTTGTAAGTTTTTAATACTAGATTAAAGGAATGATAAAAAATTCTACTTTAGTATTAATTTTATGTTATATTTTCATGTTTTATGTCTTGCTTGGTATAATTAAAAAAAAATCATATTAAAATTAAAAACAGCGCCATCTGTTAGTGTAAAAAATTAACTAATTTTCCTAAAAAAAAAACATGTAACATCGGTAATAATTTTTACTTAGTATATTCGGAACTGGAAGCAACTCGTCAGTTTGAATGGATGGATGTACAGACGGATGAAGATGAACATTCTATAGAAATGCATCTACCCTACATCGCTAAGGTTATGGAAGAGTAAGTTATTATCAAAAAGTAAACTATTCGTCAAAATAATATTAACAAATACCTTTATGACACTCTCTGTAAGAATACGAATCGAATGACACCTCATTTGTCAAAATCTGTTCACTACGATACAGGATGTTACAAAATATCTAATCGTAAAAAAAGTAAAAAAAAAAATCTTATTACACAGTATGTTTATTAATTACAACTAATAGTGTATTTTTTTATATTTAAGGTATAAAACCGGTTTCACTATTATACCAATTTTAGTTGGATCTTTAACTCCAGAGAAAGAAGCCAAGTGAGTATTACTATACTAGCAATCGCATACGACTTCGTTTATAATAAAATAAACTGACTAGTTTCCCTAGGCGTTATTCCAGACGATACATCTTAGTGTCAAATTGCATATAGACCTATTTAATTATTTTAGCTACTATTCATTTAAACTTATTTATAATATTAGTAAGATTATAGGCAATTGTAGTCTGAAGTTTTGCTAAAAATCTACCTGCGGAATAAAAAAAATAAGTAGTCTATGTGTTCTTCCAGACTATGTTCTACATCTATGACAAATTTCATTTTTTTTTACATCATAAGGTGGCAAACGAGCGAGCGGTCACCTGCAATCGCTGAAATAGCGAAGCGACTTGCTCATAGACATACGCAATTGCATATGCGTTGTCTACCTTTATCGACGAAGAAGAGGATGCACAGAAAGAAAATATTTTCCCTTCGCATGGATGCTCTCATCCGGAAAGTCCACTTCCACTTCCCATCCTTTCCTTATAAGGAAGAAGGTGGGAACGGAAAGAGGACTAAATAGGCCTCCGGGACGCAAAATCAAAATCCAATGACCTGTTTTACAGATACCTTCTAATTAACATCTCAAACCAGCATTTATAATATTAGTAAGATTAAGATTTTTTTTACTGTTTTCCTATACATTAGATACGGGTCAATCCTGGCCCCATATTTAGCGGATCCTCAGAACTTGTTTGTGATATCATCTGACTTCTGTCATTGGGGCTCACGTTTCCGATACACCTGGAAAGATACATCCAGGGGACATATCTACGAGAGTATCGAATGGCTTGATAAACAGGTGAAATATGGTTACTGTCTCTTACCCGACTGACAAAGGGTAAGTTAGGTAGACCAATATATAGCCCAGTTGACTCAAGTGGCTTTGAGGTTAAGCATTTGACTTGTAAATTGCAGGTCCTGGGTTCGAATCTCGCCATGTATTAATTTTTTTCGAGTTACATATGTACATTTATCCGACGTTTTTACGTTATATGACTTTGGCACAAAATACATATTGTGGGTGTGAGATTTTTTCGATTTTCTCGAGTATATTGTAAAATAAGAAAGTGTTGCAAATAAAGTTATAGATTGCTTTGATGAGGCTCTGAGTCAGTCGGGTCTTTTCAAGTTTTTTTTCTTTATATAACTATTTATTTGATGTTTTCGTTAAAATATCTTCAATCTATATCAACAGGGTATGAACATAATAGAGAAGATGGATCCCCGCGCCTTCACAGATTATCTCAACAAGTATGGGAACACGATTTGTGGTAGACATCCCATTGGAGTGTTACTTCAAGTAATGTTTTTTTATATCTTGCAATTCTTTATATTTTCATATCTATATATATAAAAGAAAGTTGTGTTAGTTACACTATTTATAACTCAAGAACGACTTTACCGATATGTCTGAAAATTGTTGAGGAGGTAGCTTAGAGCATGGAGACGGACATAGGATACTATTTATTCATGCATTTTTTTTATATCCACGCGGACGGAGTCGCGGGCGACAGCTAGTTAATAATATTTTTTGTTCACAGGCCATATCAAAATTACAAAGTCAATCGAATTCATCAAAAATGTCGTTAAAATTTCTAAAATACGCTCAATCTTCTCAATGTATGAGCCATCAAGACTCCTCCGTGTCATACGCGAGCGCATCACTTGTGTTTGAATAAATATAAACATTAAAAAAATATATATTATACATGTAACATCCTGTATACGGTAAGTTATTTTGACAGAAAATATTAAAAAAAAACCTACATAACCTTAAAAATAACATGAAACGAACATCTATTCTATGAGATATTAAACCTAAAAATTTAAATAAATAACCAAATATCAATAAAAAGGCTGTTCTTAACTAAAGTTACAAGAAACTGACAATTTTAAACGCCTCTATATTTAACTTTTTATAAAGTAAACTTAAGCAGCCATATTTGGAAAGTAATTTTTTGACATTTGACCTTGTTATGGGGGCGCTAGTGAGATATCATTTAGCTTGACTTATGGTCACTGGGAATTCTAAAATACGCAACTAATATTCTTGTTTTTTGTGAATTTAATAAAATGGGTTCAAAAGACAAAGACTTCGTTATCTTTTGTATTAATTTTGAAGTGTAGTAAAGATTTTTATGGAACAAAATCTTTCTTATCTTTTTTTTTATTTGTGATTTATTAAAAAAAAGTATAGATCTATGCGTAATCCAGAGCAAAAATGTGATTATTTTGTTTGAGTAAATTTCCTCGGTTTTTTTTTGTCGTAAAAGTTAAATGTTTCCTAAAAAGACGTCAAACTTGTAGTAAACACTATCTATTTATATATCTGAAAAATTATTACCAAAACATAATAATAATTTAACTAAGAGATGTATTTTATTTTATTTGAATTTAAGAACAACCTGTATGTTACGGCTAGCTTTAAAACTTTAAACTCAATATGGGATTTTTTATAAACTTAAAATATAAGTAATAACCCAATTTATAAACAATTTTAATTTAGTGAATGTCACAAAAAATACTTTTAAATTCTTCCATTTTTTCTTATTTTTAAGTCTTATGTTAAAAAAAAATATTTAAGAAAATATGATTTAAATACGGCAACTATATTAATCAAAAGATATAAAAACTATTAAAGGTAAGGTAAGTAACAGTAAAATTCGATTGGAGTTCTTAAGTTATGTTATTTAAACCAAATAGAACAATAATTAAAACATAAAAATATATTTACGTTGTTTTTACGAAAAAAAAAATAATTTTCTAACAGCACAGTTTAAATATTTAAGTTTATGCATTTTAATAAGCTGCATTTGTATTAAAAACCTTTGTAAAGAAAATGTTGTTTTTTTTTACTTTTTAACAAACTTTAGTTGTAATCAAAGAGTATATAGCCTTTTTGGTGTATTTATTGTTTTTAAAAATATTAACTAGCCAGAGACAAATGTCACTGTCAGCTGTCACGCAATATGTCAAATCTCATTGTCAATTATGAGACACGATAGTAAATTTTTCGTATACAAATAAAAAGAGGAATAAAGTTAAATTAATATATTAATAAATAAAAAACTATATAGACATGAGCACAGATGCTATTATCAACAAAAGGAATCAATTGAAGGACAAATATAAATCATGGTATTGTTTGGATGCATATAATAATACTCCACCGAAATGTTTCAAAAACGTACAAGTGCAACAATTCAAGAAGAATAAAAGTGTTTCTACTGTTATAAGTAAGACTAATTTCCTAAATATCAAACGAGATTCTCAAATAATCAGCATTCTCAAAACTATATTCAACATATTCGTGTTTTTTTGTACCGCAACAACATTTTTGTATAGACCATTAACTTATTTAGTAAAAATGTTGATTGTAGGCAGAAGTCCTACACTTAAAAAATTTGTTGAAACGAAATTTTAAGTATTATTTTGTTATATTAAAATATTTCATTGTTTTATTTTGTTTAATTTTACATAAAGTCAGCGTCATATAGATCGTAACAGACAAGATATGCAAATATATAGGTACATCAAAAGTAATCAATTATATCGGTACAACAAAAGTTCAAATTGATAATTACATTCACCCTGCTCAAATACATCGGTACATACACAGCGTCAAATATATGAGTACATGCAAGGTGCCCATAAATATCGTAGCAGCCACAGCGTCATAAGTAACGAAGCAATCAAGGTGTGCAAAAATATCGTAACATTTGACAAAATTGAACTCTATCTCTTTATACCTGTGATTCAATTTGGAATAAACTACTTCTGTTACATTCATTTGACACTTTGTATTAACATTATAGGTTGTCCGGAAAGTTCGTTCTGATTTTCGATATAAAGCTTACAATAGACTGTAGCTGAAGTGGATTCATTTTCGGATTTGCACCATTATCAAACGTCACAAAAATTTCTATATTGTGAATAATTTCATTTCATTGGTTGAGATAAAAACTATTTTTTTAAATTTTAGCCAAAAATAAAAGACGTTTTAGGTATAGAGTCGTACCAATATAATTTAAAAACGTTTCCAAAAATTTAAGAGAACAGGGTTTCAATTTTCCTTATAAAGCGGCACGAACTTACTGGGCAACCCAATATTTTTCTTCTCCTGTCATAACGCTTAAATATAAAAGTTTGTCACGCCGAATATGACACATACGTAATAACTATAATAATATCAAATTTTGCCTTGTCACAATATATACAAGTTTGGCGCAGTATTCTAGTATGTTTGCCGTAATATGTAAGTTTACCGGTTCGAATCTCAGGCTACTTTTTTATCATTTTATCAATCACGGGGTTATTTTTTCATAACCAGTAAAAATTTGTTAATGCAAAATTTTGCTCGACAATTTTTTTTATTGCAATCGACCAAAAATTTGATGTAGTTTGGATATTGACATTCAGTTTTTTTCTTTGTTTCTTAAATATAATCAGTATCAGTAAAAGGTAAAAGTAAAAGTGTTATTTTTACAGGTACAAGTTTAACAAACATGAGTAATAAACAAATTACATGCCAATAGCATCGCTTTATCTCCTTCATTTTTGTTTGAAATAGAAAAGTACTTTAACGGTCAAACTCATTAGTCCAAGGCAATATCAAAAAGTATCTAATAACTACGGCGATAGAGTTTAATTACATGTGCTTCGATATTAAAATTAAAAAGTTTAAATATAAAAAAAAAATAGTGGCTTGGAATTTGAACCGCCGACCTTACGTACCAACGGCGGCGAACGGTAAGGCCACGTGACCAAACTAGCATATATGATGGCAAACTTAAATTTGATGTTGGTTTTATCTACCTAATATCTGTCATCCGCGACGAACACTTTTAGTAAATTTTGAAAAATGGTAACAGAAGTAGTCTATTCAAAAGAAATTCAGAATTCAAAATACATTGGCGACGAGGATAAAACCGTGAGTACGGAAATAAACTGGAAAAAAAAGGAAAGAGAAAACCAGTGTGTAAAAAAAAACAACATTTCAGTAATTGATAGACGAAAGTATTGTTTAAATTATTGTGTTACCTTACATAAAAAAATTAAAATAGAAGGTAATGGATTGCTAAAAATAGCAACAGTCTTCTCTGTTTACATATGATAGTTATTTGTAAAACGTGGCCTTCAGTTGTTCCCAGCCGTGAATGTTTTAAAAACGGTTCGGAATGTAAAGTTAACCAATTGAATATCGAAATAAGATCACAATATTTGACTATCAGAGATACAGATTCATTGCTATGCTCGTCCGTCTAAGTTGTTCACTACAAAGTGCACAACGATGTCACATCGAAATATATGTGCAAGCGTACATTC